AACTTCAAATCACAAACGATAACAATGATAACAATATCCTCTCAGCTATTACAACTACCATAGGAGATGATCGATATTATTCAACAAGCTACCGTAATCATTCTTTCGCCCTTTTTCATCACATTTGTATAAATAATTAGAAAAAAAAAAAAAGAAAAACCAAACCCAATATTGTGACATATTTGCATATTTGTGAACGAGAGTAGAAGGATGGGTTAACAGTAAAATGATAAAGTGCTATTTGTTGCTATATACTCTTTGAAAGGGAAGGTATCATTGCAACCTTATGGTACTATTCTCATGATATCTTATGGTATGCTAATATCGATATTAACCACTTGTAATAATTCATGATTACTTAACAATTTATAAAAACAATAGCTTAATGAGTAGAAGCATTAAGATAAGTTGGAATAAGTTAAGGAACACTTTGAGGTAAATAATTCTGGTGGAAAAGATACGGAAATTTAACTTATTCACAATTACAGTAATATACATTAAGGAACAAGTATTGTATTCGGAATATGGGAAGTAGAAATTTCATACCGCTCTGGTACATATGGTACCTCAATTGTCTACCGGAAAATTCTTCAAGGGATTCGATTGCGGGGTATATGCGAAGTAACGAGGGAAGCAAGGAATAATAGGAAGATTTGCGAAAGTTTATTGCGATTTTTTGTCTCCAACTAATTTAAAGTAATGTACTGAGTGTGCGAGATATAAAAGGACGTGATTAAGAGGAGACCATAGAGATTAATAAGAATTAGTGAGGATTATGTAATAGATTGAGATTTAAAGATTGAGAGTGTACGTTGTGTAGTCCTCTCATTGAAGCAGTAATGCCTTGTTTTTTTTTCCTTTTTAAATAAGTTATAAAGTTAAAAGTTCCATTCACTACGTTCAATTAGGGACGAAACAGCAGTGCCAGTGTTTGCAGAAGTTGAAAGAATACTAAAATTTCTATAACATTACTGTTGAGATTTAAAATGTTATTAAAATCTTCACTTTTACAGCAGTCTAAGATTTCCTTCACTTCTATGGATATTTTTTGGGAAAAGAAGTATTTCTCAGATATAGTCATACTGCACATTTAGTTAAAAGGATGTTATTCATAACATGTTCTGGTTCGAGGTATAATTGGAACGAGAATTGTGCACACGGAAAAGCTAGACATAATTAATGATACTCGGGAAGTATGATAAAAAGCAATTATGCTTAGACTTAAGCCTAGAATTCTAATTGTAATCGTAATTTTCGTGCACTATATGCTAAACGATGCTTTTAGAAAAAGCTTTTAGAAAAAGCATCGTTTGGTATATAGTACATGTGAGTGCATATATCTTACAGTTTATTTCTCTCCTCAATCTTCTCTTATCTTCTGATATTTTATGAAAAAACATTCGTTAAGAAGACGAATGCAGACGAGATCGTAAAAATAGATTTCATAAGGACAGCTTAAGATAACAGCGACAGCTCACTAAAATAGTATGGCATATTATTTGTCTGCAACGGGTCATCATTAGGATTCTGATTCAAGTTTTCATGTTGTCATCTAGATCTAGGACGATGTTTAATTAGTTTTGAAGTTTGTGGATATCAGTGAAAAAAAAAAGTGCAGCCAAGAATCTATTTCTCCGAATTTTCGCGATTGAATTTTAGGATGCCGGGAGCATTCGAAGATCTGTTAAACAAGTCGGATCGGCTGTCGATACCATCTAAAGTCATTTCGAAAGCATCATCAGGATCATCGGTGATTATATATTTCATTTTTCCCAAATCCTTTTCCTAAACATAAAGTGAAGCAATAAATAACTAGTTTCATATCCAAACTAGTAGCATTTCTGGCTAAAATTCTGTCTTGTTTAATTGAATCGAAAATCTCAGAACAGTAGCATTAAATCAGCAGTACTTGCTGATTTTTAGGTGGGAAATATTTTTTGCAATACACTGCAATGAAGTCTTCCACTTTGTAGTAATAATGAGAAGGGTTTCTATTCAGTTAAATCTATTCATGGATTAGAAAATTAAAAAGCTTGAATTAGAAAATATAAATTCTTCTGTTAAAGTATGGATGAATTTATTGCTCCATTCCAGTACAAAACCCGTGTCGATCTTGCACTGAATGATGTTTTCCGACGCAGTGAAGATTTATGGAAAAGAAAGACACCTGCCGAGAAACGGTTATCCGATGTGGAAGTATGTTCGATTATCGTTTATGGTTTTTATTGCGCATAGTTTCTTAGACTTTTGTCTTACTTTTTATTTTATTAACTTTTCGTTTTCAAGATTGGCTTGTTATTGGGTGGAAAGGGCTTTGCACTTAGCTCAGTACCACAAATGCAAGAAGAAACAGGAGAAAATGAAGCTGAAGAGCTTGTATTGCCGTCGTCAGACTGCCAACATATGTTGAATGAAATTGTTGCTGAAACTT